TGGTTAAGAGGCCTAATAAATAACCCCCCTCTTCATTATGTGAAGCAGAGTTTGGGAATGTGGTGTGAATCTTCAGGTAAGTGTACTTCATGACAGTCTCTAGTGCAGAAGAAAACACACTCTCCTGGGGGACAGGCAGGGCTCCCCTGACAAGCAGAGATATGATCCCCGAGGGAAGCTCTCTCCAGGAGAAGGAAGAAGTCGAAGCACTGGGCTATGCTTGTTTCTCCTTCTGGACTTACCAGTTCAGTAAGTCCCTGCATGTCGCTGTGACGGAGTAGGGGCAGGGTGGAGTGACCAGGAGGGTCACACTAACGGATTATTTCTCCTCAAGGCAGGAACTATCATGGAGGCAAAGAAGCTTTCTCCTCTAGAAATAGGTTGTAAAGTCCAGAGAGATCTCAACCATGTAGCTCTTAAAGATGCTCTAAAAAGGCACTTAAAGATGTTCTGTTCCCCAGAGTGTCTTTGTGTGGGATAATAGGAAGAGTCAGGGAGGTTGTCTGGTGACCACAACGGAAGAATGACTGCCCTTGTTCGGCAGATAAAGGCAGGAAGGACTAAATACGGTCCTGTTTTCTGCTCTTCTTTTTCTTTCTTTCTTTCTTTTTTTTCTTTCTTTCTTTCTTTCTTTCTTTCTTTTTTTTTTTTTTGGTGACATTTTAAAAATTGAGATATAATTCACATAACATTAAACTCATCCTTTGAAAGTGTTCAAAGCATACTAAATATACAATGATTTTTCCAATAATCACAATTTTTTGCGGCCATCACCACTATCTAGTTCCAGAACATTTCCAAAAACTCCTCTCTCACATTCCCCTTTAGCAGTCATTCCCCATTCCCTTCAGGAGGGTCAAAGGCCGAGCCCATTGCAATGGCCTTGGTCTTTTCCTCATGGTTTCAAGAAGGCTGCTATAGCCCCATCATGATATTCACCCTACAGTCAGGAAGGGGGAGGCTATAAGGACCAAACCACCATCGAGTCAGTCCTGTCAAGGTGCTTTCCTGAAGCCCTCCACCTCTAGACATGGATTGCATCTCATGGGCCACTCTACTTACAAGGAAGATGGGAAATATAGAAAGGCATGTTATTGCCCCAAGTAAAATCAGAGTCTGTTAGAGAGGTAGAAGGGGAGAATGAATTCTGTGTAAGCAGCTAGCAGTGTCTGCCCCACAGATATACATATATTAAGTAAATTTAACAGTAATGATTACATTCTGTATACTTCCCCAGGTAGTGACACAGAAGGACATGTTACAGGAAATCTCAACCTCAAAACATTAGATCGATAACCAAAGCAAGCCAAGTTTCTGTTAAGTCCATATTGAATCTTTCATACATGATTTATTTCAGTCTTATGTTTTGTTGTCCATCAGTCACTGCCTAGAGTCAGGAGCAACACTTCCATTTTCTACCCTGTTTGTCAAGCAGTATGAATTTAGGCTAAAATTATGTCTCATAAACTTAAATGGCAGTCCTTGAGTTCTACTGTTTTAGGATTTGTTCGGTAAATATGAGTGTGCCCTTATCACTCATAGTTAAAAACACAGCCACCAGATCCTGCTCTGTCTCTCATCTCAAATCCTCTAACTTCTCCAAGATGACCAATTCAACCTTTCCTTTTTTCCATTCTTGTGGTTGTTATGTCTTTATTTATAAACAACATGCAGATATTACTATTTCTTGTTTTGTCAACTTAGATATTCTCAGTGGCTTCTTGCTATCCTTTATATTAAATACTAAATAGGTATGTATACATGTAATTTTAACTTTTAAAGTAAAACTGCCAGTTATTTTACCAGCAAAAAAGGGTTCATTTGGGAATGAAAGAGAATTGAGAGTTAGGACAAACAAGGTGGGGCACAACCTTAGGTGAATCTGGGCAACAAAGGACAGGCATGCCTTTTTAAGGAGAAAAGGGGTACGTTGGGAAGGCTGTCATGAACTAAAAGTCCAGGGGAGTAAACTGGGAATATCAAGTGTGGTGGCTTCTCATTGGCTGAGCTGTTGCCCAGATAGGGGGTAGGGGATGAGGAAAGTGTTTCTTCCTTAGGCTGGAGAAGTAGAATAGTATTCACGGGCAAGGTCAAGCCTGTGTAAGGTCAGGTCTCTCACTTTGTGTTGGGTCTGAAGTGGACTATGAGTGGTAGGGCATGAGAGCTCCCCCTGCTGAGACCTACCTGACTTCATCTGATTAACCCTCCACCAGCCTGTCACCCAGTCAGGTTTTTGTCATCTACCTATCACGTGGGAAAGGGTGGAGGGCTCCTTCCAGGGTGGTGTAAAATCCTTTTAAGGGTGGTTTCCTCTTAGGACTGGGGGCATGGGGTGCTTGTTCCTGCCTGCCTTTCTTCCAACTTAATTAATACTTCTGAGGAGGTGACATTTGTGCAGAGACATGAATGAGCCAAAGTTAGTCATGAGAAGATTGGGGGAAGAGCATTTCAGGCAGAGGGAATAGTACTTGCAAAGGCTGTGAGGCAGGAGTATGCTTGGCATACTGAGGAGCACGAAGGAGGGAGATTTGTCTGAAATGGAGAGAGCTCAAGAGGGAGTCCTAAAATATGAGGTAGACTCATAAGTTGGGGGTAGGGGTCTGGAGGCTGTGGCAAGTAGCATACCTCTTATTTTGAGTGTAATGGTAAACAGATAGAGTGTTTTAAGCTGGGGAAGAAAGCGATATGACATTACTTAAATAAAGAAAATCACCTTGGGTGTTTTATAGAGAATGGACTGTAGGAGGGCAGTACTAGAAGCTGGGACACTAGTTAAGGAGGCTGTGGAGAGATGATGGTCATTTGGACCAGGGCATGAAAACAGTATTACCCATTTTTCTAAAAACATTGAAATAGAATCACATTTATTTATTTATTTATTTATTTATTTATTTATTTATTATAGGTCTTAAATGAAGTTTGGGACTAGAAATAATTTGTAAAGTGAGTGCAGTGACATGATTTTGAATATTTAAGTGACAATCTAAGTGAAGGGCTGCCTGGGCTGCTCCCAAACCAGGTCCAAGGAGGGCTCAGGGGAGGGTTTTTTTTGGCTTTTTATTGTCTGTAGCTCCTCTCCTGTGGTGCTGTGGGCGTGTAAAATCAGTGAATGAACGCTGCTCTGCAAGCACATGATTTATTACCAACATGAACAGTGTCAACCAGAAATGCATCAGATTTGCGATACCCTATCAGACTCTTCCCTTTCTGATGCAGTTCTTGATTGGAAATAAAAATCATGGGGCGCGTGGGTGGCTCAGTGGGTTAAGCGTCTGCCTTCGGCTCAGGTCAGGATCTCAGGGTCCTGGGATCAAGCCCCTCATTGGGCTCCAAACTCAGCAGGGAGTCTGCTTCTCCCTCTCCCTCTGCACCTATCCCCCATTCGTGCTCTTTCTCTCTTAAAGAAAGAAATAAATAAAATCTTAACAAAACAAAAAACAAAAACCTTTTCAAGCCTTTCCCAGGCCTTCCATGAAGGTAGCATCACGCATTGGTTCTACACTTTGGTGGGCATGTGAATCACACAGAGAGGATGCTAAAACCAGATTCCTGGGCTCCACCTGCAGAGTTTGTTTCTGTAGGTCTGAGGAGGGGCCTGAGAATACAATTATCTGAAAAACTCTGGTTCTGCTGGTGCTATTGTTGGGCATTGGGCTATTTTTTAAATGGGAAAGAGCTGGACCAGCTGTTCCAATTTCTGTTTACTTCCGTTGCCTGACTTTTTTTTCTTAATGCTGACATCAAGGGGGCTGCTTGCTGTGGAGGACCTCTGGGGAATGGGCACAATACAGCCCTGCCTCAAACCTTTCGTGCTTCTTGGGCAGCGTCTTTCGGGATCCCCTCACGCTTAGGATAAAATGACTAAACGCTTTTCACAGTTCTGCCTGTTTTCTCTTCTGTTTCATTACTCTCGTCTACATGGTCTGCTTTAGTGGAAGTTTCTCTGTGACTTTTCCACCAGTTCCTAGCATATCTACAAGCTACCGTCTTCCCTTCTGTCTATATGACTAAATACCTTTGTGAATCCCCTTCTGATCAATGCTTGCCACTCATCATTTCTCCTCATTTTATATGTACCTTTTAAATATTTTTACAGCCATATAAAAATCCCATTTGTGATATATCCTGTATTTATTGCTTTACTGCTCTTTTTCTTCATATTCATTCAATACCACAATACGCAATCATCAGGAAACAAATGATACCCCCTGCTATTATAAATCTGCTTACAAAGTATATAACATTATCTAAGCCATCAATCCCTTCTGTATCTTCTTAAGTAGGCTTAATTGCTGTATGTATAGGCACTATCTTTTGACCTCTTTGAATATTGGTTTGATCTATCACTTATGATTTCCCAATGTATTAAAAAAATTTTTTTTTCAGTTGGGGTATAATTTAAATTCAGTAACATTCATCCTTTTTAGTGTATAGTTTAATGAGTTTTGAAAAATGCATACACTTAGCCATCACCACAGTTGAGATGTAAGGCAGTGCCTTCACCCGAGAAAGTTCTCTCTTGCCTCTTTGCAGCACTCCTTCCCCCAGCCCTTGGCAAACCTGATCAGTTTCCTGTCCCTGAAATAAAAACAGAAATGTTTTATTACATTCAAATTTGAATTTAGTCCTTGCATTTAAAGAAGAAATTCTGAAAGCTGAGGATAAGTAAGTTGTATGCCACATATACCGAACGGTCCTTGGTAATAAGTATTTTGTTTTATTAACCATTTTGAAATAGAGTGAATATGCAGTGTGGCTTTTCATGAGTCTTTGGTTTCAGAATATTACCATTTTTCTCCAAAAAGCCTTCTTTTTCTGTTATTATTTTAAAAGAAAATAATTTTAAAAAACACTTTCTGAATATGTTCAGATATGAAAGTTTTTGTTCATTTCATTTACTTACTATTTAATAAAGTAGATGAAAGTTAAATCAGGAAATACATAATTTTTTTAAAGGTAGACAAACTAACATTTCTTTTTATCTTCTTTTTTTAATACAGGTGTTTGCTTCAGAATGGTAAGTCAATTTTTTGTTTTTTTTCCTCCCCCTACTTGTTATTTCTATTTACAGAGATAGAGCAGTTTTCTACTTAGTGCTAGCTTACTGCTTATTTTCTGTCCTTGACAGTAAATGAAATATTTGTATTTTTTCCAAACTACTGCCTGAAATTTTTTATTAAAGTTGTCTTTTGAAAGTAGTCTATCAAAAACATTACAGCCTGTCTAGTTTGTAGTTAATCTTTTGTATGAATTTCAAAAATTCATTTACTGGGATGATCGAATTAAACATTTTGGCTAGGTGTACTGAACATAAAGTGTGGGATCTGCTCCATGTTTGGATGGAAGAAGTCCTCCAGGCAAATCTTGAGTTCCAGGATGAAAAATGCCCGTGTTGCGTAAGGAAGTGGTTCTCAGGAGTTAAGACAGGTTAAGGCTCCTTAATGCTTTTAAAATTTTTCCTTTGTTAATATTCTCCTTTAAAAGGTGCATGTGTTTTCACCTACTGTCAGAGCTAGCAGTCACTAGATTAGCTCTCTCTTCCTAACCTCCCAAGAGTTCTAGTATGTTCCTAACCAGTGAAGTCTCCTCCTTTTGAGATAGTCCCCTGCCCCACAGTTCAGATTGTCTCCTCTTTCATTATTATTTTCAGAACCGGCTCCCACATAAATCCTAGCTGTAACCATCTCTGTTTAGTTGGGGAAGTAGAGTGTATAGATTCTTAGTCACTCTGACCTCCAAACAGAAGACCGTGTTTTTAAAAAGTTCCAGTAGATAGCATCCACAAGAATTTAGTATGATGTAGTTAAAATTGTTCAAATTAAAATGTTGCTAGGTTTTCATCTGTAAACATAACTGAATTTAAAACTGAGAAATTTTTAAAAGACTGTAAAGAATAATAGGAGAAATAAACTTACGTATAGACAATTATAACATTTGTGTGGCAAGTCCACAGCCAGTGGAAGACATCAGAAACTTTTAACTGAATACTGTGTATTGATCATAATTCAATATTTTCCCTCAGTGATTGAAAATCTTAGGATGATCATCATTTGGAACCCAGACAATGTAATTCAGTGTTGGAAGGTATTGGGGCAGTGCAACTGAATTTTATGAATCCCAAAACACATCATGGAAACTGTTTTCTATCAGTTTATTTTCTCATAATGTGCTCATCTTTACTGAAAGTGGAATTTAATAAAATTTACCCTTAAATGAAGGTTCTTGTAAACAGAGGAGTGATTGTAGGTCAGCTACGTAATTTTTGTCATGGACTGTAGGAAAAAAAATTATCGGTTACATTTTTTGACGCTGGATTTTGTTTCACTAATTTTCTCCTAAAACCAGTACACAGAAGGTGAGGCTAAGAAAATAGGAGTGGTTGGCTGGGTGAAGAATACCAGCAAAGGCACTGTGACAGGCCAAGTGCAAGGCCCTGAAGAGAAAGTCGATTCCATGTAAGTAGTAAGACTAATAATGCACTCATGTGATTAATGAACTTATTCTAATGTTTCATTAAACAATAAGAATAGTATCGATGGACCAAATTCAGTTTGTAGATTGTAACTAAACTAACATGCTTTTAGGCGTATGAGCTCCTTGTTGATATGCCTCTTCAGAGTTGGGAATGGAATTTGTGCATTTAGGAACGGATTTCCCACTTGGCCAGGCCCTCCAAAAGAACAATGGCGTCATTCTCTAATCTATTTGAATTGTGTTCTGTCTCTTCTAACGTGGGGGAAACAAACATCTTGGGCCCATGTATCTCTCATTCAAAGTGGCTGTGAAGAAGCAAAAGCCTTTGGATGGTTTTAGAAGTTCTTTTAATTAATTAATTGACGATTGATTGATTTTTTTTGAGAGTGTGTGAGCATGTGACAGTGGAGGAAGAGGGGAGGGGCAGAGAAAGAGGGAAAGACAATCTCAAGCAGGCCCGATGCACAGCACAGAGCCTGACATGGGGCTCATTATCACAACCCTGAGACCATGACCTGAGCTGAAATCCCAGGCATTCCTGGTTCTTAAAGTTCTTTTTTTAAAAAAGATTTTATTTATTTATTTATTTATTTGACAGAGAGAGAAACAGCAGGAGGGGGAACATAATAAGCAGGGGGAGTGGGACAAGCAGGCTTCCTGCCAAAGAGCTTGATTCCAGGGCCCTGGGATCATGACCTGGGTGGAAGGCAGATGCTTAATGAATGAGCCACCTAGGCGCCCCGGTTCTTAAAGTTCTTAAAGTAGACTTCAAGGCCAAAAGGCTGCTCTCTCTTTCTTATTAAGTATCTTATTTATCTAACTGTAATTTTTACTGTTGGTAAAAGTGTGTTTTATGAGTTGTATGGTTACCATAATGAGTCCTTGCGTTCGAAAGGAGACCAGATTCAGTAGTAATGAAAAAAGTGCCCTGTCATATTCAAAAGCCTTATCTTTTCAGTTTCATAAATTCCACTATTCTCTGTAGTATTTTTTTTAATAAAAAATAGCTAACGTTTACTGCAGATTAGCAGCATTTGGCAATATGGTACACACTTCAAGTGGTTTATCTCATTTAATATTCACAATGGATCTTATGAAATTAGTGCTAAGTCATACCCAATTTATTTTATTGTTTGCAATTTATTTTTGTTTTCATTACTTAATGTTTTCAGATCTCAAAGGTAATACTTTTTTGTTTATTGTAATAAGTGAAGTAATAAGATGCGGAGAGGTAAAAAAGCAAAGCTAGTAATCTGCCCCTTCTTTCCTTTCCTCCCCTTGATAGAACACGGGCCTGTGGCCTTGTGAAGATTTTCTGAAGCTTTCTCTTTCACTTAGAAGTATTTAAGCATTTATAGTTAGGATTTTGCTTGTTTTTACCAAAATAAACTACTTTATACATATTTTTCTGTAACTACTTTTTCATTTTATAGATATCCATCAATCAGTAAACAATTAACCACTAAGTCCTTATTTTTTTCTAATTTCTTTACATCTAAGTACATACTTTGTGTATAAAATTATACCCCAACTTGGAAAGTGGGTCTAAAAATTCAATTTCATAAAGTATATGGTAACAGTTAAGGAAAAACAATAATTTTCAGTAGGATTGCCCAAAATGCAGATAAGACTGTGAGACTTATGTTCTATAGAACTAAGTAGTTCATAAAATGATAAAGCGCCAAATGACTATGAAGTATTGGGAATGGGCGCTGCAAGGGAGGATAGATGCTCATGTCTATCACGTTATAGCCTAATCCATGCTGTAGCAGGTTTCTGATTAATATCCTTCACATACCCATATGATACATTCTGTCATTTTTTCTTTTCAATCCCTGGGTACCCCCTCTTCCTTCCCAGTACTACCAGTGATCCGTGTTAGCAATCCGTGTTTGTTTCCATATTCACAGTTTTGGGTTGTGGTCAGTATTTGCTTTTTAAAAATGGGATCATGGTGTACACACTTTTCTGCATCTCACTTTAATATTCAAAAATATCTCCAGGAAACAAATAATCCAATTTTTAAGAGTTCAGAAGGCATGAATAGACATTTCTCCAAAGAAGACATTCAGATGGCCAATACATACATGGATAGATGCTCAACATCACTCATCACCAGGGAATGCAAATCGAAACCACACTGAGATATCTCCTCACAGCTATCAGAGCGGCTAAAATACAAAACACAAGAAACAACTTTTGGTGAGTCTGTGGAGAAAAGGGAACGCTCAAGCACTGTTGATGGGAATGCAAACTGGTGGAGTGACTGTGGAGAACAGTATGGAGGTTCCTCAAAAAATTAAAAATGGAAATACCACATGATCCAGTAGTTCCAGTATGGGGGATTTACCCAAAGAAAATGAAAACACTAATTCAAAAAATATATATGTACCTGTATGTTTATTGCAGCATTATTTATAATAGTCACATTATAGAAGCAGCCCTAGTGTCTATCCATAGATGAATGGTTAAAGAGGATGTTACTTACACACACACACACACACACACACACCCTGGAATATTACTCAGCCAAAAAAAAAAAAAAAAGAATGCAATCTTGCCATTTGCAACAACATGGATGGACCAAGAGAGTATAATGCTAAGCAAAATTAGTCAGAGAAAGACAAATACCATATGATACCACTTGTGTACAGAATTTAAGAAAACAAATGAACAAAGAAAAAAGAGACAAACCAAAAAATAGACTTAACTATAGAGAACAAACAGATGGTTATGGAAGGGGGGGGTGGGTAGAATAAGTGAAGGGGATTAAGGGTACACTTACCATGATGGGCACTAACGTATAGAATTGCTGAATCACTATAGTGTAGACCTGAAACTAACAGAACACTGTATATTAATTATACTAGAATTAGAAAACAAAATACAACAAAAATACATCCAGGAAAACTCACCCAAATCAAATGGTAGAGCTTTAATCCATTCTTTTTAATAGCTGCTTAATATTCCACAGTATTAATGTGCCATTATTTATTATCTTATTGCTGAGAATTCTTTTTGTTTCTCTCTCTCTTTTTTTTTTCCAGTAAGAGCAATGCCATAATAAATATTTTACTGGTGATTTTATATTTGAGAGATAGATTCCCAGAAGTGTGTTTGTTGGTTGACATGTCTGTTTACTGTTAATTTTAAAAATATTTGTCAGACTACTTTTCAAAATAGCTGTAAACAATTTATATTTTTTTCCTATTCATCCTGTGAGCAATTGTATTATTACTCTCTAATTTTCTTTTATCTGATTGGGTATAGAGTGATGTATTGTTTTTTTCACTGTAATTTGCATTTCTCTAATTGCTGGTTATTTTGAGCATGTTCATACTTATGGCTATCTGGATTTGTTCTCATGAACTAACTCCCTTTCACATCCTTTCCCCATTTTTCCATGGGACTCTTTGTCTCTTGCCAATTTTTAAGAGCTCTTTTTATATTGGTAATGATTACTAACTCATTATCTCTTATCTCCTTTGCAAGTATTTTCCCAAATCTATCCTTTGCCTATTCATTAGTTTTGTTTATTTATGATAGCTTTTGCAACATAAACTGTTTTAATTTTTATAAACTCAAATATGGTTATCTTTTCTTTCTGGTTAAGAAACAGATTGTAGGGGGTGCCTGGGTGGCTCAGTTGTTAAGCATCTGCCTTCAGCTCAGGTTATGATTCCAGGGTCCTGGAATTGAGCTTGATGTCGAGCTCCCTGCTCAGGGGGAAGCCTGCCTCTCCCTCTCCAGTCCTCCCTGCTTGTGTTCCCTTTCTCTCTGTGTCTCTCTCTGTCAAATAAATAAATACACTCTTTAAAAAAAGAGAAACAGATTATAAGTGTTGTTCTAAATTTTCGATGCTTTATTTATTATATTTAGCATTTATTCCATCTGGGATTTGTTTTTTTTTATTTATAATATGGGATTGGGGACTGTTTTCTACCAGATAGATAGCCAGTTGTGCCAGCACTATTATTAAACAATCAGTCTTCCCCCATCAAATTGGAATACATTTTTTTCATATATTGAAATAGCATATAAATTGGATTTTATTCCTGGGTTCTCTGTTCTGGTCCCCTACTAGAGCTACTCACCTATTCCTAGACTAAGACTCCATATTGACTTAATTACAGTGTCTTTGGAGGTTATTTCCCTTCACTATTTTTTTCATTCATTTATTTGCTTCCTTGGGCATTTATTTTCTCTCTAAACTTTAAGATACTCTTATCCATTTAATTGGAATCATATCTGTTTTTTATTTTTATTATTTATTTATTTAAAGATTTATTTATTTATTTGAGAGAGAGAGAGAACGTGCACTCATGATAGGGGGAGAGGGAGAGAGGGAGGGAGGGAGAGAGAATCTTAAGCAGACTCTAGGCTGAGTGCAGAGCCTGATGCAGGGTTCCATCTCGTGACCTGAGCCAAAAGCAAGAGTTGGATGCTTAAATGACTGTGCCACCTAACTGCCCCAAGGAATTATATATATGTATATATTTTTTAAAACTTCCCTGATGGTCTTACAGATGTGCTTTCTAAAATAAACTTTCGGAGTACCTGGCTGGCTCAGTGCGTAGAGCACGAGACTCTTAGTCTGAGGGGGTACGAGTTTGAGCCCTTATACTGAATGTAGAGATTATTTAAAAAATAAATCTTAGGGGCATTTGGGTGGTGCCATCAGTTAAGTGTCCAATTTTTGGTTTCAGCTTGGGTCCTGATCTCAGGGTCCTGGGATCCAGTCCTGCACTGGGCTCCCCGCTGAGCCGATAGTCTGCTTGAGATTCTCTCTTCCTCTCCCTTTGCCCTTTCACTTGTGCTGTCTCTCTTTTTCTGTCTCTCTAAAATAAATAAGTATCAAAAAAATAAAATCAGATCTTAAAAACACCCAAAACTTTATTTTTTAGAACAGTTTTAGACTTACAGAAAAATTGTAAAGATATTACCAAGAGTTTCCATATATTTCTCACCCACTTTGCCCTAG